CATATATATACATATACATATACATATACATATACATATATACATATACATATATATATATATATATACATTCACATACACGTTTTAGTGTGTGTGTGTATTTGCACACAGTTACAACAGGTGCTGAATAATTTTAAATTATTTATTTTAAATAAAAATTCCATGCCGATCGTGCGGCTCATCCAATAATCAGACAATTGTGTGTCATGTACAAACTTATTTTGAAAAACCGCGATAGACCGAGTCCGCAAAAATCAAACCGTGAAGTAGCGAGGGACTACTATATATTTTTTAAAGACAAAAATAAGTTTCTCTGAAACACGAGTGAAGTTTATCTACTTTCTGAGCTGTGCAATCACATTCCTGGTATTCTTGGGTTATTTTTTAATATTGTAGTTGTTTTAGGGCAGATTGAGGAATGCATTGCACACTGGACAGATGTTTCCTATTCCACATTACGGTGATCTGATCTGATGCTCTACGCTCAGGAACTGCTTTGAATGGAGCAGAAGAAACCAAACAGTTTGCAGTGGATCACAATACAAATCCCAGCAAAAACGCTGGCACCGCCACCTCTGAGTCCGGTTTATTTCTGTTGAAAAGTCAAATAAACATTCTGGCACAACCACAAGACCTTTAATTCATTATTAAAGGAGCCGAGCCAGCCTTTGCACATCCTGCATCCGTCGGTTCGGTTGCTTCGCCGGCTGCAAATGCCCAAAAAAACAAAAGCACGACTTGTGTGAGGCCCCGCAGGAACCTGAAGGTGCTGACTGGAGCAGCGGGTTCCTGTAATGCAGGTAAAGAGGAGAGCCGCCGGAGGACATGTTGGATCCTGGGGAGGGACGGATGAGAGGAGGCCGGGGAGCTGCCACAGCTGCTCAACACATGGCCACTTTATGGAGCACCTACAGGCATTTGGGCTAATTTCAGAAGCTGTTATGGCGATTATTCCTTACCGTGGGACATTGCAGACTTGTTCTTATAATAACAATTTTAATGTTTAAGAAATCCAAACAAATTGCAGGTCGGCTTGTTGTTTTTCTGTTGGTTTATTTAGATGAAACCGTCATAAATATCTGAATATTCTGGTCCAGGAGTTAATCACGTGGCAACATTTCCATCTTGTTAAGTTTACTGCGTCCATGTGGGGAGGTTTAACAGGGTGCTGCACAGAACCCTGGTTAAGGAGCGGCATTACCACTGAGCCACGGGCAGCTGGGGGCTAATCTTAACGGAGCGAGCGCAACAAGTCAACATGGATGTAAAAAAAAAAGATTCATTTCACTGAGCTTCCAGGGTGAAAGAAAAGGATTGTGGGAACAAAAAAAAAAAAAAAGAAAGACTGCTCTTTTTTATGAATCTTGACGTATAATGAAAACAATCTGATCTTTTATTTTTTTACCAGGTTCTAAAATCATTCAAAATCCAGCCTCAAGTGTACAAAAAACACACAACAGGTTCTACAGCGTCATTACTTATCGGCTTTTAAACAAAAACAAAATGCAAAGTGTACAAATAACTCCACCCTTCCGAAGCAGCCGGCAGCTTCTGATGGACTAATCTTCATCGGTGTGAGTTTTAGCTGCTCTGGCGCAAACAGGTGTGTGTTAACACAACGCCAAGCAGGAAAAACATCAGCAGTAACCTTAAAGAAGCAGCTGTTGCTGCCCATCGAGCTGAGAAGGGTTAAATGTCATTTCTATAGGATTTGGAGACGTAGGGCTCACAGGCGTGGATATCCCAGACAAGTCACCCCAAGATCAGACCGTGCAGTGCTGAGAGAAATGACAAAACCCAGGAGCTCCATCTCAGACTCTACAAGGACCAGGCAGCAGATGAAGGGTTAAAGTTCACGACAAGTTTAAAAAAAATAATAAAACTGAAGAGAGGGAGTCAAAAAAACAAAAAAGCTATTTCTGAACAGCTTAAATTCACAAAGTTCACATCTGATTTCTGAACAATGCCCTCTGGACAAACCAGACCACAGTAGAGATGTTTACCCATAATGCACAGCAGCACAGTTAGACATCTCAGCTGATAAGCATGGCGGTGGAAGGCTGATGATTTGGGCCCATTTGCAGCCACAGAACCCCGGCTCTCTGGGTCATAAAACAGAACAATGATCCCAAACACAGCAGCTGATCTATGACAGAACAGCTGAAAAAGAAGAATTGTGGTGCTGCAACGGTCCAGTCCAGACCGAAACTCTGCAGTGGGACCTTCAGAGAGCTGAGCAGAAACCGAAGTCGTCAAACGTCAACAAACTGAAGCGACGTTGTAAAAAGAGTGGGTTAAAACGCCTCCATGACCATGATGATGTGCGTTTTTGTAGACCAGATCATTTCAATTACGCCCCGAGACAAAAACCCATTGAGTGAAGGAACTATAAATATAAAGCACGAGGTGTTTTAGAAAACTTCTGGGTCCACTTTGGCTTCAAAACATCTAAATCACGTTTTGGCATTTTGTAATAGAACATGTCTTATGGCGCTTTGTGACATCTAAAACCAACATTCTGGTGCTGCTCGGTCCCACAACGCTCTCCTGGGAGGGGATTTCATTTGCTTCTTCAATGGGAAGCATTGTTCAGATTTTATAGTAGCTTTATTTTCTGCCATCAAGTAGAAAATTGCTCCCATTGACAACAAATATAGCCCCATTAAATCATTTAGTCCCAATGCAATTTATCCAACATGAGGTTTAACAACGCAGGAAAAAACACATTTTGGGTAAATAAAAAAAAAATTAACTGGGAGATGTGTTAACGCCAAACTCTGCTGAAACAAATCAGAAAAAACATCAAATATTTATACAAATTTATGTCAAAGTGAGATCATCAATTAGAGCGATATGCCACATTTTGTTCAAATGGATTTAAATGTCTTCAAGGGGCAATGTGGAGCTAAACATTGCAGAGTAAATAACAACAGCACAGAAGCATAAACTGTTGTTTGCCTCCAGCTGGGAGCGGTGGTTCAAACCCAGATGGATCCTCGGACACGCTGCACCGCTGTGGCTTTTTAAAGGAAATTACACCTGATGAATTATTCACGTCCAACATTTGGTTTAAATTAACTTCACAGGTTTAACTGCAGACGGGAAGGGCAAAACGAACCAGACCATCAGAACAGAGCGCTTTTTCATAAACCTCTTTCCTAATTCCATGTCCAATCAAAGGCCTGGGAATGCACGTCGCCCGCTGGCTTTGACGTCACAGTTGTAGCTTTGAATTAAACATTTTGTACAAGCTTATGAAACAGTGTGAGAAGTCGCAGAGTATTTAGACTCTCAGCTACTACCATCTCACATTTAGGGTGAATATTCAAAAGAATGAATGAGTTCTAGTCATTTTCATGCAGTCTAATGTTAAATAGCTGTGGCGACCATCTTTAATTGAATTGACTCCAAAGATTAAAGAGTTGTAGATGTACATCCAATGATCATTTCCTGAGAGATTCATTTAAACCCATTAAGTGGTTCATGAAATATTTTGCTAACAGACAATCAGGGTGGACGCTAACAGTTTATGCTAAAGTTTTCAGCAATGATCTTGTGCAATACATAGCACTCAGCATATGTGTTGCAAATGACTCGCAGCTACTACACCAATATCTTTTAAAGTTACTGAATTATAGCCATTTATGTGTTTTATAAAAAAAACAGTTGGCAGTGGCGGCCATCTTAAACTGGACTGACTCAAAAAGTTGAACAGTTGTAGAAGAACATCCAATGATTGTTTTCTGAAAGCTTCATTAAACTCTCTCCATTAGTTCCTGAGATATTTTGCTAACAGACAGACAAAGATGACTACATATGGCAAAATTGTAAACAAAGATCGTGCACAATCTGTTAGCACTCAGAATACTAATTGGGTATGGCCCTCAGCTACTACCACACCAAACTTTAGGCCAGTATCTGTAAATCTGGCTGAGTTATAAGGCTCTGTGAGTGACTTCGCCGTTTAAATTTGAATTATTGTCATTATTTCTGAACTACGCAGCTCTGGAGGTGAAGAGTGAACGTCAAATATTAAAACCAGCTGTTTTAACTTCATCCCGGTCATTTTGTTGTTAGTCAGACCCGCTGTCTGTATGACGGGCGGCTCAGACGAGTTCCAGCAGGTCACACCGGAGCAACAGCCGACACAACCGGAGCCGTCGGGCACGTTTACCTCACGTTTTATGGGTTTACGAGTCGGATCACTGGAACGATGTAAACGTCTACTAAAAACAAACATGAAGGTGAAATATAATCAGCTCCAGGTCAAATTTTCTTTGTGTAAACGAGATATGATTTTTTTTTTTTATGCGTCAACTTGTGGAAAACCAGAAGGTGTTTATAAAAGCTGCCTTTCGTTCCCCTCTGTGACTTTTATTATTTAAACACAGGCAGTTCTTTATCACGAGGTAGTAGCTGAGAATCATTCACAACGAACTCTGAGAGGGTCAACTCACGAGTTTTTACTTTATTTTACTTTATTAATGTCATTTTTATGCCTTAATTTTTTATTTATTCCAGTTAAAGGTCTAATGCTGTTTTTGTTACGCCCAAGTTGTTTTCGATGCTCCAGGAATCGTAGGTCCTTTTGACCCCAGGGCAGCAGGAGGGTCAAATAGTTTGAAGGCAAATTACCTAAAGCCTTATTTCTCAGTCAACCAGTTGACTAATATAATAAATAATAATAATAGTTGGATAAATAATAAATAAAACACAATGGTACTTTTAGTTAACTGTCAATAATGGTGTACCGCAAGGCTCAGTCTTAGGACCCACTCTCTTTACAATCTACATAAGTAATGCAGGTCAGAACATTCCCGACGCATCCTTGCATTTCTATGCCGACGATACAGTTTATTGTTGAGCTAAAACAGCTGCTAAGGTTTTCCAGCTTTTACAGTCTGCATTCGACATAATCCAGTCAGATTTGTTTCCATCTCAAACTGGTGCTAAATGCTGATAAAACCAAAGGGATGTCGTTTTCAAACAGGAAGCTGGTACCAGCAGTTCTTCCGGCTATCTCTTCTACGAATGGTGTTCCTATAGAGTTTGTGGATTCTTACAAATCCTTGGGAATCCTGGTTGATGCACATCTCTCTTTTATGCGTCATGTCAAAAACTTGATAAAGAAAGTGAAATTAAAATTGTGTTTCTTTTTCAGAAATAGATCTTAATCAGAGTTAACGCTGAATGCTAGGAAATGCTACTTTCCTACCAGCCATGGACTACAGTGACATTATTTATATGAATGCTCCTGCAAGCACCTTGCAGATGTTGGATGCTGTCTATCATGGTCCGCAAAGATTCATAACTGGCTGTAACTACCGTACCCATCACTGCACCCTACTGGTTAACTGGTCATCATTAACTTCATGCAGATTATCTCACTGGTTCATTTTCATCTTTAAATCACCCCTTCGTCTTCTACCTTCATACATTTCCTCCTACATGTCACGTCGTCAGTGCAGCTACAGCGTGCGCTCTCAAGACATCGTTACCTGCAGCGTCCCCTAAGTTTGTCATAAGAGCCTTCTCTTACTCCGCTCCCGTTTCCTGGAACACCTTGCCAAAAGATGTGAAGCTGTCGACCTTGACCTCTCTAAGGGATTTGAAACAATTGTTAAGTTTGTGGCAAAAATCAAAGCAGACATGTTCCTGTTTATAGTATCTTTACCTCGTTTCATAGTGTAGCTTGATTTGATTTTGTTTTATATCACGACTTTTTATTTTATATGCATTTTATGGCTGTTTATTGTTGTCTGTATCTTATCTGTAGTTTGTCTAAAACAAGTCTCTCTTGTAAGAGTCCTCGTCACTCAATGAGACTAACCTGTATAAATAAAGGTTGAATGAATGAACGAATACAGATGTTTCAAGCAATAAATAAATAAAATTCCTGTGAAATATCGGATATATTTTTGCTCATATTGAATCTGCGTTTCTGAGTAAATTATTGTTGTTTCTAAGCCACTTTTGAATGATAAAATGTTTTATTTGTAATAACTTTAATAAAAAATTGAGTTTGGTGCTGATAAGACAGAAAGGTTTTCATATTTACAAAATGAGCAAATAAACGCCGATAGAACGGTTCAGATCGTGGAGCATCCAGGCCTCCTGTCTTTAACTATTGATGAGGTTGTAAGTGGTCCACTCTCTGCGCTCCCTCCGCTCCTTTCTCCTTCTTCTCCTTTACTTCCTGATTGTTATTTCAGCTGGAGACGAGGAGACGAAGCTCGGACTGGATGCGGCTCCCTCCACCGATATGGCTTTATGTATTATTAAACGCTGCATGCGGTCTCCTCCAGAAACCCGCGGAGGTTCTGGGAGGTGTGCTGTTTAGTATTTTGCGGTGGAGGGAGCAAAAAGGCCGAGTGGCTGAAATCCCACATTCATCATCCGTAAGAAGAACAGCCACCTCAGTCACTTCTCCGAAACCACACAGGTCCGTCGTGATTTATACTTCTGCAGGTCATAAAACGAGGATTTAGATGCCGGTTCACAACCTTTAAAGCTTAAAGCTTTACGTCAAACTTCACCTGTGTGGAATTAATTATTGGCATTATTTAGGTGTGCATGGACGAAAATAACAGTAAAAACCCAGCGTTCCTTGAAGGAATGCATATCACCCATCGCTGTTTTAACCAAACTTTTAAATGCTGGAATCTCAATCAAGATCTTGTTTTCAGCAGTCAGTTTTGGATCACTCTCAGCTACTATCATAGCAAATTGTAGCAAAATATCTAGAAAATTCAAAGAGGTACAGCCATGTTTGCGTTAGCTAACATTGTTTAGCTGTGGCGGCCATCTTGATTAGGAATACCTCCAAAAGGTAATCAGTTGTAGAAGTTCATCGAATGATTCCTTTCTGAGAGTTTCATTAAAATCCATCCAGTTGTTCATGAGATATTTTGCTAACAGACGGCGTTCGGTTTGATGGTTAAGGGTAAAGTTTTAAAACGAGACCTTGAGCGATCAGGTAGCACTCATACTATGTGTTGGAATCACTCTCAGCTACTACCATTCCAAATTTCAGCTCAATATATGTAAAGCAGATGGAAATATGGCCATCTTTGCATCTGCTAAAGTGTGGCAGCCATATTGAAAGGAGGTCACTCCAAAAGTTAATCAGTTATTGATTCCTTTCCGAGTGTTTCATACAATTAATCCAGTGGTTCTTGTGATATTTTGCTAACAGACAAACACAGACATGGGTGAGAACAGCAAAGGAAGTTGATTATTAAATTTAAAAAAATAATAATCTGTTTTCTTATTTTCTTTTTCAGTAACTGAAGTTTTTTTTTATCATTTCAGGTTTTAAAAGCACAACTTGTATGTTTAGATTTTATCAATAATAGGGGCGTTACCGGTGCAAAGAAAACAACCCTCAGCCTTCGGTGTCCGCTCCCATCAGGCGGGCTTCAGATCTCAAAGCTGACGGATCGAATCTTTTCTATCCGAGATCTGGCGAGCGGCGGATCGGTTTTTATTATTACAGATGGAACCGCGCCTGCGCTAACCAAGATTACATTTCACGGACTGAACTCTGGGCCGAATCCAACCTCATCACAGGGAAACTGGGGTCTCCTGCCGAACGGCTGGTTCGGGTTACAGAAGGACAACAGTCACACCTAAACTTTCACAAGAAACGGTCCAAAATCCTCCAGGCAAAACAAATAAATAAATAAAAAGTTTAGTTTCAAACATTACCTTGCATCGTTGTGCACGTGGGCTCTGGGAAGAGCGGGATGAGCAGGAGGTAGATGAGGTAGACGAAGGACAGGACATTGTACCTGAACAGGCAAGCTGCAGGGAAAAAACACACGAACGCAACAAATCTGTGGTTAGAGCATAATAACTTTGTTCAAAAAACACGTTTTTCATCATCCTTGCTTGTGTCGTGTAATGTTTAACGGTAAATAAATGGCGGTGAGATCGTCGCCAAGTTCAACAAAAAACACGATTTTACAGAAACATCTGGTTAAAATCATTAAACTGTTCCTGGTGTCCAAAAGCTACTCATTATAATGAAACACCAGAACATTCCAACGGATTAAACTTAACACCTACAAGCCTCATTATCGCTCATCTGGCCTTCAGCGCATTAAATAAATAAACACTTAACTCAGTTACTCGTTTGTTTAAAATAAAAATACAAATTAGGAGCAATGATTAGATCTGATTCTATTTTAAATAAAACTTTGTATCATCTGAAGATTTCCATTTTCAAAAAATATATATTTTTTTTTATTTAGTTTCAGGCCTGTTTTTGGTAAATTAAACAAAATCAAATTGAAAATCTAAAAAAGGCAGCGCAGTCGAGAAGATACATTAGAAAAACTACCGTACTTTTCGGACTATAAGGCGCATTAAGCGAAACAGATAAATCAAACTTTATTCAACTCATTCACAAATAACCACATCAAATAGGTTCGAGGTCAGTAAGCACAACCAGAATTAATATATACGGTTCACCGGATTATAAGGCTCTGTTGATTTTTGAGAAAATTAAAGGATTTTAAGTGCGCCTTATACTCTGAAAAATACGGTAAGTCTGTTCCCTGAAACCAGGACGACTTGGATCATCTGAGAGCAAGAATTGTCCTCATAAGTGGATCAAAATTAAATAAACTTTTTATAATGTTTTATCTGGTTTGTCATTTTACTTAATACATTTTTATCTAATTAAACTGGCGCAGACATATTGCAAATTTAAAATGTCAACAAATTACATAAAGTTTCTGTTTTACTTCTATTTAAGTGACACATTTACAGACTGAAATAAGATGGCTCTAATTCCTGACATTAAAACTTTAATGCTTATATATTTATTATATATATTCTTTAAAGAAAAAAAAAACACAAATCACTTGTTTTAGTTAGTAATTTCTGTTGGTTTGTGACATTTAAAAAGTGGTTACGATATAATTAAGGTTTGGTGAAAAGAGTTTGAAGAAAATTGAATTGTTCTCTTTTTTATTTTTTTTAATTATGCGTCAGTATACAATATTTATTAATTCAGGACTCTGTAAAAAGTCCAATTACATGTTCTTCTACAGATTAACTTTTGTGATCAACCTAATTCAAGATGGCCGCCACAGCTAAACAACAAACAGAAAAATCTCTCTAACCAAGACCGTTTTACAGATATGTAGCTCAAATTTGGTGTGGTAGTAGCCGACTGTCCTTCTCCACATATAATCAGCGCGCTAACACATTACACTAGTTCTCTGCTTAAAAATTTGCCTTGGATTCAACACCGTTTGTCTGTTAGCAAAATATCTCAAGAACCACAGGGCATATTTTAATGAGGCTCTCAGGAAGTAATCATTGGATGTACCACTACAACTCAAAACCTGCTGGAGACAACCCAACTCAAGATGGCCACTGCAGCCAATCGACACTACAGAACACATAAATGAGTAAAACGCAATCAGTGTTTCAGATATTGAGCTAAAATTAAACGTGGTAGTAGCTGAGAGTCGTTCCAAACACAAAATCTGACACACACACTGAATGACACAACTTCCTTTCCTGAACCGACCCCCACACCCATCCAGTGTAACAGCAGAAGTCTTTTAGTCGTTGTGATGAAACGCACTAGTGCAAACATGACTTTCAAAAACCAGTAATTGACATATTGATCCTGTGCATGCCTCATTTTCATGAGTCCAGCTGTCTGTCCGTCCTAACAGAGGCTTTGAGCAGTTAAACAACCCAAACGTCAATTAACAGGTCCAAAACGAGCCACGCCACCCACACATCAAGCACATCCTGGGTTGTCTGAAGCCCTACCGCATCAACTTGTAATTTATATATTTATATATATATATATATATATATATATATATATATATATATATATATATATATATATATAGTATCAATTACAGGTTAAACCTCAAAATAAGCACAAAATAAAGGACAGGCAGCCGAAGGTCTTTGAACAGTTTTAGGCCAGGAAGTGAGGAGGAAAGCACACAGTGACTCTTGTCAAATGTGGAGACGGAGGCCGACCTCCTGAATTTGTCTTTGCCGTTAAATCAACAAGCGCCGGGGTTTACAACCAAGAACTTATCGTCTAAGTCACAGAATCCAGCAGTCGAACTACTGAAAAATTACACTTAACTGCAGAAAATGGTGCTTTTTATTTATCTTTGCGCGGTCAATGGACCTATTCATTGACATTTGACTTGGCTCCGACTTTTCCCTTGGTGGTGGAGTAAAGTGCACCTCCTGCTTTTCTCCACGCTCAGATGCAGACGGATGAAAAACCAACACACGTTAATAAATGTCGCAGGGCCTGTCGTATTTGTGCAAATCACAAACGTCTGTAGATGATCTCCGATTGGTTTGGGTTTGACAAATCAAACAAACTGTTCAAATCTGATTCAATAGATTACAAAAAACCCAAATGATTATTGTTTGTAATTTTTTTTTTATAGAAATCAAACATTTTTTGTCTATCTGAGCTTCTTGAGGATTAAATGACGCAATCTGGATGCTTCTGTTCCCCACGCAGTTCATTTTTTTTATTAAATCTAGCATTAAACGTGACATTTTTGCACAACCTTGCAAGTATAAGACTGCTGTCTAATCTGATTATAGATTTAAAGATGTCTGAGTGATAATCCCACTGCTCGCCTGCAGACACTTGACCGCAGCCTTCCTGACCATTTGCCTTTACTGTATGACTCACCATCGGAGGATTTTACACCGAGAACAAAAACAAACTAGTTTTTTCAGATTACTGAACAAAAAAAACAAAAAAAAATCCCCATTTCAAGGCTGAATCAAGCTTTTGTCTCTCCCAGTTAAAGGTGTTCATATAAAAACACAATTCTTAAAACATATAAAAGGAAAATCTGATTTACGTGTGAAGTCAGAGCTAAATGTTTTTTCCCAGTTTCAGCCCACTGATGAGAAAATAAAAAAACATTAGGAGATAAGGTAATCCTGTGCCAGCCCAAACCGAGTACTGGGAGATAACAGAGGAATTTAAAAGTAATAAAAGCTTTCCAGACCAAACGTTTCATCAGAACATAAAACCTGGCAGAAACTTTCTTTTAAGATAACGTCAAAAAAAGTTGATGGTGGCTTGAACTTTTCTTATGAATGTCAAAAATCAAAACCACTCTCGTCATAGATATTCAGAAATAAAATAAAAAATTAATGTGGCAAATGATTTCTTTAGTTTTAGCATTGGTTGACATTGTTTTATCAATAAACTTAACTCATCAAAAGTTGCCATTCTTTCAAGTATTGTTTGAACTTTATCAAAACAAAACAAAACTTTATTATATATAAGTAAATCCAAAATTCTCCTTTATTATATCAATTACAGATTGTCTATAACAATTAATATCTTAGTTATATTTAAAATAAGTAATGAGACAGTACATCATGTATTATTTAAGTTTTTATAAAGAAAACAGTTTTGATTTTAAAAGCCTATTGTATCAAAACTATCAAATTTTTAATAAGTCAATGAAAAACATAAAAGGCATTACTGTACAATAATAGTCTTTATTTAGTTTAACATGGATTTATGTGAAGGTATTGTTGCTAATTAGATTTTTCTAACCTTTAATCCATTCACCGCAGCTCCAGCTAACGGTGTTAGCTAGTAGCAATGCTATAAATGTAACAAGCTAGCTAACAGGATAGTAGCATTAGCGGTTTGCTTGAGAACTAGCTGCGGCTAAAAGCTAACAGCTCATGCTTCAACTTACCAAACTTTGGTTAAATATATATATATTTTTTTTTAATTAAAAAACTTTACACAAAATTACACAGTGTAAAAACTCCGGCTATAGTTATAGCATCAAATTAGACGCACATTAATGGGTGTGTCAGCTGAATTTGTTTGTTAGCGTTAGCTAATATTAGCTAGGTTAAGCCATAGATAGTATATAAATAAAATGCTGTTTGATTTTTTTTTTTAGGGGGAATGCCAACATGTTAAATTAAGCAAGGATTATGTTATAGAGCTTTGACTCTTAAGAAATTTAACTTTATGTCAGAAACTTACTGGTACTTTGCTGTAGGTCTGCCCGCTACAAGTGACATACAACAAATGGTTTGTCAGTAATAACTTTAAGGTTGTCACTTAAATTTCCTTTTTTTTATAACTAAGAAAGAAAACTATTTTTAAAATATTATATACATAAAAAGGATATTGTAACGCCATCTCTATTCATGCGTTGTAATTTATACTCGGATGACTCGTTAAAGGAGGGACGTTTTTTATTTTTAATTTGCTCCACAGCCATCCGAACAACGACAGCAAAACAACAACATTTTTCCCCCTCATAAACAGCCCATCCGTTTTTTTTATGAACCCAACTACAGAAATGCTGTAGGAACATGAATATAGAAACGGCACTGGAACAGTCCAACTATGGAACATGCTACAATATTATAGAAGACAGCTAAAACTTTTATTTACTCAAAAATGTCCACTAAAGCTTCATAAAGCCAATATTAATACCTGGGCTGGAACCAAAGGGGGGCCATGACCAAAATGCAATAAACAGTCTTTCAGAGAGTATGCATCTTTTCACAGAACATGAGCTATAACTAGAAACTTCTATTTTATTATTATTTCTATCTCGTTTACAACGCAGACTAAATGAAACCGGCATTCGTGGGAGGAATGACTAAAACTTTAGCTTTTAAAGCAGCAAGGAATAAAGTGTTTGCATGATCTGTAAAGTACACTTGGAATCAATCTAAGTTACTATCACAAAAATTGAGCTCAATGGCTTTAAAAAAATAAACATATAAAATTATAACCATTATTGTGT